GGACAAAATTATACCATTAAATATTTTAGGGTAATGAATGCAATTTCAAAAATATTTTGAGATGTTAAGTGCATCTTAACCCTCTTAAATTTTGCATAATGTAGAAAACCCTTTAATTTTCTCCCGAAAAAGATGCACGAACTTCTAAAACCAAAAAGAGTACGCAAGAAAAAAAACAGTCTAAAAAATGTACTGATGTTATCGGGTTGGTTTCAAGATTTTTTGGCTTTTTAATTTGTTTGGGGTCTGAAATTCTGTACTTTCAATTCGTTGGTACATGATCCTGCACGCAATAGCGATGTTGGCATCTATATAACTTGCGAGTTGTATTATGAATGTTGTCGATGAGAAATCTATTGTAAAAATCTTGAGTGAGGTAGATTATTACAATTTATTCGGGCGAGGTAAGAGTGATTCAATGAGGTTGGTAATTTTATTTCTTCAAATTGAAATAACTTTATTGTTAATTCTATGGATTTTCAGAATTGAAAATTTTATTTGAGAAGACACGTCCAATTTACTGTGAAAAAAATCAATAATCTTCGTCAACATATTATTAATAAAAATTCCTTGGTAACAATGAAATCAATTTCATTTAGATAATTTCATTAATCAATATTATTATGTCAATATATAATGTAAAGTTCATAGAAAGTATTTGTGAATGAGCCGTGAGTATTAAAAAAATTTTGGAAAATTCAGTCTTTTATTCCTCTCATCTTTCAACTTACTTATAACCCAGTCTCTCTATTATAACTTAGTGTAACTCAATTTTTAAATTTTTAGCTCGTCTTTATCACTCAGTCTCTTAGCCTTGATCTTCACTCTATGTTGAGAGGTGATTGTGATGGCGAAAGAGATGGGATTGTCACTTCTATTCGTCTTTGCAACATCCATCCACTCCTATCGTTGCTTCTTTTCTTTAAATTTTATGAAAAAAGAAATTCCAAATGGAACTAACTTGAAAGCTATTTTTGTCCTATGGATGACTCATAACTTAATGAAGAATAGTAGTATAAAAAGTGAAAAAAAAAAAGAGAGAGATTGAGTCATCACGTGAGTTAAAGGTTCACGAATTGAATCGTATCTTAAAAGATTTAGTGATTGAAATTGTATATTTGTTTCTCATTCGTCTATGTATATATATACACAGCGGACATGGGCCACTATCTATCCTATCTATACAAATCATATCTTTGACCGATTCTTTCTCTCTCATATCCCATATACATTAAATCATTGCATATTCAAATATCTCTCAACGGATTCTAACTTATTCGAATATCTCTCCGAATATCTCTCAACAGATTCTTACACTCCCCCTCAAGTTGGTGCATGTAGATTCGTGATGCCCAACTTGCCCAAGAGTAGCTTGAGTCTATCCTTTCCAAGTGCCTTGGTAAACATGTCCGCTAGCTGATCTCTTGTCCATATCTTACGTGGAATTATCTCCCCCGATTGGTATCTTTCTCGTACAAAATAGCAATCCATTTCCACATGCTTGGTTCGCTCGTGGAAGACCGGATTCATGGCTATATGTAGCGCTGCTTGATTGTCACAATAAAGCGGCGTTGCTCTGTTTTGTGTTGCCTGCAACTCTTTAAGTAGCCACCGTAACCATACTACTTCACTCACTGTGCATGCCATCGCTCTGTACTCTGCCTCGGCCGACGATCTTGCCACAACATTTTGTTTCTTTGACCTCCAAGATACAGGTGAGCCTCCTAATGACATAAAATAACCACTACACGATCAACGAGTTAATGGACATCCTGCCCAGTCTGCATCGCAATATGCCTGAAGTTCTAAATTTCCCTCCGATCTGAGGATGATGCCTTGCCCTGGGGTGCACTTTAAGTATCTCAGCACTCTCTCCATCGCTACCATGTGCGAGTGTCTAGGTGAGGCTGTGAATTGCCTCAAGGTGTTCACAGCTTAGACTATGTCTGGTCGTGTTACTGTCAAGTATTGCAACTTTCCAACTAACCTTTTGTACCGTCCTGCATCTACCTCAGGTTCTCTCTCATCATTTTGTAGTTTGCAATGCTGCTCCATCGGAAAAGCACTCGGTCTACAATTCATCATGCTTGTTTCCTTTAAAATGTCTAGCGTGTACTTTCGTTGACTGAGAGCAATGCCTTGTGGAGAGTGTGCCACTTCGATTCCTAAGAAAAACTTTAGTTTTCCCAAATCTTTAATGCTAAATCTTTTGTCTAGATACTGCTTTGTCTCTTCTATCTTACTCTTATCATCTCCAGTTAGCAATACATCATCCACGTATATTAAGCATGCAACATAGGACGTTGTAGTTCGGAAGACAAACAGTGAGTGATCTGCTTTACTTTGTTTGTAACCAATACGAAGCAATGCTTGAGTGAACTTATGATACCAATTACGTGAAGCCTGACGCAAGCCATAAAGGGATTTCTTCATCTTGCATACTCGTGTCTCCCCCTCACGAGCGAACCCTTGAGGAATGCGCATGTATACTTCTTCATCGAGATCGCCATGAAGGAAAGCGTTGTTGACGTCTAGTTGACAGATAAGCCAATTGCGTTTAGCAGCGATAGCAAGAAGACAACGGACAGTAACAAGCTTTGCTACTGGCGCGAAAGTTTCATGAAAGTCAACACCAGGAATTTGTGTAAAACCGCGGGCAACCAGTCGGGCCTTGTAACGTTCGATTTTTCCGCAGGGTAGATACTTGATTTTGAAAACCTACTTGGAATCAATAACATGTTTGTTAGGAGGGAGAGGCACCAACTCCCAAGTGCCATTGGCTTCAAGAGCTGCAATCTCTTTCTTCATGGCAGCTTGCCAGTGAGCATGTCTGCATGCTTCAAAGAAAGTTTTGGGCTCATCGTGCGCTGCGATGGCCGCCAAGAAAGCTTTGTATGAAGGAGAGAACTGATCATAATTAATGAACTGAGTGATAGGATACTTTACCGGGGAACGTGGTGAAGTGGTATTGCAAGATGGCTGATCGGGGGGAACGACGGAAGGAGGGAGATCTATGGCATAGTCTTCAAGGTGACGTGGCTGGGTGTGAGCATGTTGACTATGACGAGGTTGAGTAACGGTATCACCTGAAGGCTATGTGGCAGAACCATCGTCTACAGGTGCGTCTCGTGTGTGTTCTTCGTCATGTTGCTGTATAGTCAGAGTGGGTTGTGGAATTGAAGTATCGTGTGAGTCATTAATGATGGGAGGTTTAGAATGTACTCGCATGGTAGGTGGTGCCGACTTGGCAAAGGGAAATTCCCTTTCAACAAAGATGACGTCACGGGAGACAAGCTTCTTCTGTGTAGAAAGATCATAGAACAGGTACCCTTTCTTACCAGATGGATAGCCAACGAAGATACAAGCAAGGCCTCGCTCATCCATTTTGTCACGTTGCACTGGATGCCTTGTGTACGCGAGACAACCAAACACTCTCATGTGGTTGTATAATGGTTTTTGTTGAAAGAGGACTTCGTATGGTGTTTTGCCATTGAGAACTTTAGAAGGCAAACAGTTGATGATGTAGACAACAGTTAATACGCACTCACCCCAAAACTCTACTGGAAGGTGGGCTTGAAATCTCAAAGCCCTTGCAATTTCTAAAATATGTCGGTGCTTTTGCTCTACGACACCGTTCTACTGCGGTGTGTGTACACATGTAGTCTGTAGTATTATTCCTCGTTCGGCATAGAAGTTCATCATAGTAGTCGATTGAAATTCGAGGCCATTGTCTGCCCGTATCTGTTTAATTTGTTTATCAAATTGGGTAGCAACCATATTGATGAAGCGCTGCAAATAATAGGGAACATCGGATTTGTTCTTCAAGAGATATACCCAAACACCTCTGCTAAAGTCATCTACAATTGTCAGAAAATAATGATCGCCAGATATCGATAGAGTTCTGTAACCGCCCCAAATATCACAATGGATTAAATCAAAACAAGAAGTAGATTTTATTGAACTAGTGCCAAATGGCAAACGAGTTTGTTTAGCGCGAATACATGAATCACAATGACCCATATCAGATTTATTCTTAAAAAATTGAAAACAAAAAGGAATCTGCTTCAACTTGTTTAAAGATGCATGACCCAATCTTGAATGCCATAGATCTTGTGTGTCACTTCCATGTACTGCCAACACCGTTCCCCCTTGCTATAGCAGTGTTAAATAATACAAGCCATCTCTGCATTTACCCACTCCAATCAGGTTCCTTGAACTCAAGTCCTGAATCACACAAAAGTCAGCATGAAATGCCACGACACAATTGAAATCTCTAGTAAATCTACTAATAGAAAATAAGCAGCACTTGAAATCTGGAATATATAAAACATCATCTATTTTCATTTGTGGTGAGAGTACAACACTCCCTATCCCATTGACTAGAATTGCTTGTCTGTCAGGTATCTTTACAGGCGGTGAGCACGCCTTTTGTAGCGCCGTCAAGTGTGTTCTATTATTGGTGATGTGGACCGAAGCTCCTGTGTCTATTATCCACTACTCATTAGTTAAGAAATTACCTGACATGTTTGCCGTTGGTTGAGTTACCTTCCCTTCCTTAGGGTCTAAGCTTAAATATTGCATCAACTTGTCATATTGATCACACGTGAGACCGGGGATCGGGCTTCCGTTTGCTTCGCCATGCACTTGTGCTGCCTTTGGTGTGGCACGTTTATCTCGTCGATCTCTCCTTGTCTTTTTCCAATCACTTGGATATCCAACAAGGTCATAACATTTGTCCTCTGTATGTCCAAGTTTATTGCAGTGGTTGCACCTTGGATGATCCTTTTTACGGTCTACACGATCACTTTTCACTTGAAAAGCTGTCGCTTCAGAAGTTGTTTTGGTGATGGCCGAGATCTGCTTCTGCTGCTCGTCTTCAGCCACTACATGGTATGCCACCCCAAGCCTTGGCAAAGGGTTCATGCTGAGTATCTGCGTCTTGATCGTTGCATACCTCTCCTCTAAAGCCATTAGAAAATCATAGAGATGATCCTTCTCCTTCATTCCATTAGTTGTTTCTGCAGATCACACTTGCATCCTCCGCATGTGCACTTCGGCCATGGTGCTATGGAATCAATCTCATCCCAGTAGCCTTTTAGTTTGGTAAAGAATGTGGGCACAGATTGATTCTCTTGCCGCATGTGTGCAATTGCATGCCGTAACTCATAGGCTCTTGGTGCACTACCCTTACCAAACCTCTCTTCAAGGTCTATCCATATCTCCCGTGCTGTCATGGCATATCTGACGCTGCTTCGTAGCTCTTTATTCATGGCACTTTTAAGCCATCCTTTCACCATGGCGTTGCAACGCATCCAATGGTGCAATGTCGGTGAGTCAGCAGCAGGCATCGAAATTGTTCCGTCAACAAATCCTATCTTATTCTTTGCAAATAAAGCATTGCTCATATCACCGATCCATTCACCATAGTTGCTCTCATGAAGGAGCTCACCAACATAGATCTATCCTGGACTATCGGAAGCATGGATATAGTAAGGCGACATTGCGTCCACTGTTGATGAGGTTGAATCGGTCATCGTTTTTTTTTGTGCGGCTCAGACACCTAAGCTCTGTGTTTTGATTATAGCTCAGAACCCTAAGCTTTTGAATCTTATATACAGACCTTCCGCTCTGATACCATAAAAGATTTAGTGATTGAAATTGTATATTTGTTTCTCATTCGTCTATGTATATATATACACAGCGGACGTGGGCCACTATCTATCCTATCTATACAAATCATATCTTTGACCGATTCTTTCTCTCTCATATCCCATATACATTAAATCATTGCATATTCGAATATCTCTCCGAATATCTCTCAACGGATTCTAACTTATTCGAATATCTCTCCGAATATCTCTCAATGGATTCTTACATATCTAGTCATAATTAAGGAATTAAATTATAAATAAATTAAAAGTTAAAGAAATAAGATTAATTTTCCCAAAAAAAAAATTAGTTCAACATCATCCTGAAAGTAAGATTAATCGTAAGAGCGATACATGGGTTATCCTCCAGTATTTTATTTTTTAGCATAATATAACTTTTTCAAATAAAAAATAAAATGAAGATATATAAGCAGGATGGAGTGATTTTTTTTTGTTTTGGGTTATACTAATAATGTAGAAATGGATGACATTACTGCTTAAACAAATATACTACGAAAAATATAATCAACAATTTACCCATATAGTTGTAATTCGATTATCAATCAATTTTATACTTTATCAATCAATAGTTGTCATTTAATCTGTCAGTTCTTTATACTTTCGTTATAACTCTAGATATTTTCAGAAAGCATAGGAATCAATAGATTAAATAATTAAGACTTAAAGGATTGCATCTAAATGAAAACGATAAGGAATAAATGATCAATTTTCTCATAAGAGTATATGAATGAATGATGGAAAAAATGTCCAAGTGCTTAATATCTTTAATACTTGTTGCAGTGAGTCGGTAGTTTGCGTCAATTTTTCCTCATATCATGAGGCCTTGGTTTGGGATATTATATATGGCCATTTTTTCGTAATTGAATATAATGCCATTGATTGCCCTCTTAATTTGCATCTCCAGCATTTTGTACGTAATAACTTGACTCTCCTATACACGTTGTTTGCCTTTTGGTCTGTCCTAGGGCATCTTTGCATAATAGACGGATTAAACTGAAACCCAACCCAAAATTTAGTATAATTTTTGGTTTGGTTAGGTTTGGTAGCACGTGATTTTGTTTGGTCCGATAATAACGTGACAACAGGTTGGGTTGGATTTGGTCCACCAACACCCTCAATCTAGATGGTCTTACCAATTGGTTATAAATCCATAAGAATCTCCAACAATATTAAACAACAACAAAAAGAATTTAAATTATAAAATATTATTTTAAAAAAATTACTTAGACCAAATCGGAGCAGTCTAGATAGTCTAACTACTTAATTTAGAGCCTAGTCTAACTTGACTAACTAGTTTGGTCCAATCTAATCTGATTTTATCACATTATTTATTTGACCTGGATTGTACTACTTCATATTAGACCAGACTAAATCGGATTACTAGGTTTTTACATGCCCTTAATCTCTCCATTGTGGAGAGATCGAGCAGTCTTTTTTTTTTGTTTTTTGTTTTAATTTCTATAACTTTCTAGAGGGCAAACTATGGAGGTGGGGTGGCTTCTGCATATGTCGACTCGTGTATGTGAACCAATATTCAAGGCATAGGATAACGTGACTAGAAATCTTGAGTGTGTGCACATTAATTTGTTCTTTTTTTAGTCACTTTTTTGACTCTCAACTTTTAAAAAACATCAAAGAAATTTCTAATTTCAAATTAATCCAACATTTTAAAATATTTTTTTAATGAGAGTGAGTATCTTCAAATAATTTTTAATACGCATAACATTTTAAAATATTTTTTTAATAGCACGTGGCATTTGAAAGTAATTTTTATTGCAACTTTGCCCTTGAAATATTTTTTTAGTTGCAATAAACATCCTAAATTTTAGGATGTTGAGTGCTAGAAAAATTACTTTATAATATTAAGTTTTTTTATTCTAAACATAAGATTTATTTTACAGTGTCATTTAATTTTGAGATTAAAATATTTTTTTTTGGCGATTTAAAAGTGATGAATTTAAAAGGTGACTGATAATAGAGCAACTTAACCTCCACACACCTAAGAATTCTTGGGGCGTTACCCCGTGACTTCAATATTAGTTCGCATGAGTCAACCCGTGGTAGCCACCTGCTAGCAATTCATAATAGCCATCTGTTTCTACAGCACAGTTCTTGGCATGAAGAAGAGTATGCACCAAGTCCTAGTGGCAACTATGACGATGTTCTCAACAATATCCTTCTCGTCTTTGGATCGCTTTCTTCAGCTTCTCTGATGTCAATCTTGCTTCCAGACTTGCTTGTGCGGTTCTTGATCATCGTCTGGGCATCATTGCCTGTAATACTCCTACGTCAATTGCTCAAACACGTGTTTCGTAGGATTTGGTGTTGGACAGTGAACGTCGTTTCTGGAGCTGTTCGAAGTTTTAATGTTATGCGGGATGAATCGATTAAAGGAGGAACACTTCCCCAGATGATATAATAAGCAAGCATTGGAAAGTACGGTTCAAATTATCGAAGAAACCTGAGAAGAATTATCGAAAAAAGGAAAGTAGGGTTCAATCTATCGCCCGCATGCTTTGTTGTAATTATGTTGTGTGATTCCCTATGTCTATGTATGTTATATGGTGAGAAATTGGTAGTAAATAGTGTAGGATTTTAGGGATACTTCGAATTGGACCAACCTATTGAAGCGCCCATGTGAAATATAAACAACTTCGGTGCTCGCCATTATAGTAAAATCTAGAATTCGATCGACAATTTTAATAGTCTAGATTTAAAATTTTTTAACTAGTATTTTTAAATAAGAATTATCTTTTGAAAAAACTCATAGTTAATAGATTATATTTATTTTGGATTATGTACCTATTAAAGAAAAATATTTTTCAGAAAACAAAAATATTAAATATTAAATATGGCCATTCATATTAAATTTGAATGGTTGAGATTTAATGAGCATCATAATGCTTATTATCTCAATAAGTATTGAAACTGGTTTCCATATGAAACTGGATCACAAGACTCCGATTAGGCAACACAGCAAAAATACAATGAAGGGAGAGAATAGGGAGAGATGAGAGAGGGCAGGAGTTGTCTGTTTTAGGAGTTATTAGGAAAAGAATCTCTTCACTTCTCTTATTATCCACTTCCCACCACTTTTTTTTTTTATTTGGATCTCGCAGATGAATTGTAAACGGTTAAGATTTAATAGTTTTGTAAAATATTAAATTTCAACTATCCAAAGTTGATCTAATGGTGAGAATAAATAAGTGGATAATATGGGACCCAGAGAAGTCAGTTCTCACGCATTGCTTGTCGTAGTAATAAGCACCATATACTCATTGACATGATGATATTTAAACCATTCAAAACCTGATTTAGATAGTTCAGATTAAAAACTTTTAATGTGTAATTTTTAATTATAAATTTATTTTTAAAAATTATTAGTTATAGGATTATCTTTATTTTAAATTTTCTTTCTATTAAATTTTTAAAAATGATATTATATTAGATTTTATGCTCATAATTATTTTAGACAAATAATGATAAGAAAATATGAATTTGAATAAGGACCAATTTGACATGACTTATAAATAATTTTTTAATTATAATTTTTGAAATAAAAAATAAAAAAATAAAAAATTTTTTATCTCGAGTGGTAATTGTGTTTGTGGTATCTTCATGCCACCTGTAAGAATCCAGAAGATTAGTTAGTTATGGCACGTGACCCAAATTTTGGGACTTTTCTTTTGCAAAATAAGATTTAAGGGCTGTAATTTTAAATCATTGTAATAATAAAATTTAAACAAATTGAATCGTCATGAGAGAAATTTCATGAGAAAATCTTGTTATTTAAATTAACATATTTGTAAATTATCTTTGTCCTTGAAAGCTTATATATTTTATCTCAAAATTAAAATCCTTTCAAATTATGAAGAACCATGAAGATAAGTCATTACATTTGATCCAATTCTTAATAACGTGAGAAGGCAAGTTTATATGTCTAAGTAATTTTAATTTGAATTCCTTTAAATCTTTGACCTAATTTCAATTTAAATGATTAATTTAAATTGCTTTGAATTAATGTTATATCAAAATTATCATATTGTATGGCTAATATTGCATATGGATATCATATGTAGTATGCATATATATACATATACATATAATCATTTCAACATAACATTTCGTGAATAAAATTATGACTCCCAAGCCTAATAAAAAAAATCGAAACAAATTGACTCGTAAATAATATTTTCTTAAAATAGTGAAATCATAAGAAAATCTAGTTATTTTAAATCAAAATATTTGTAAATTATCTTTATCCTTTAAATTTTATCCTATCCCAATTTTCAAAGTTAAAATCATTTCAAATCATCATTATAAATAATGGAGCCCCCTAACGGTGAAGGTTATGTGATTTAGAATCATCGACCCCTGTTTCATTCTTTAGAGCAATCAAGAGGGTTCCTATTACTTCCAACAACAACAATGTCGTCACCTGTGGAGAAGATAACAGTGGTGAGCAGCGACGGCGACGAGTTCAAGATAACGGTCGCTGCCGCGGTGCAATCGGAGCAGCTGAAGCAAATGCCAACGGATGATTCCATCTCGATTGACAAAGTCCGAATGGAAAAGGTAAGCACTGAAATATTGGTGAAAGTGATCGAATATTGCCAGAAGCATGCGGATCATGAAGCCGTCGCCAAGGCCAACGGCAGCGGAGCCTCCGATTCCAAGGCGGAGGAGCTAAACAAATGGGGCGCTGAGTTTATGAAGGTAGATGTGGAGGATAGGCT